CTTGTTTGCACACAGCCGTTTGCATGTCGTCTCCCTCACCAGACTGTGCATTCCTTGAGGACAGGGCACTGTTCTTGCCTTTCTTTCTGCCTCCACCACTTGGCACAATGTTTGGCACATAGTAAGTGCTTAATAAATGTTTATTTATGTGACTTTAAACATTTTTAAAAAGACAGACGATCAGAAACCATTGACACATATACATGCTCTATGTGATTATTTAAATCTAGAATGAATACAATGTATAAATATTCATTAAACACTGGGCACCAACCGCTGTGCTGAGTGCTAAGGACATGTATACAAAAATGAAGACAGCTCCTGCCCTCAGGAGTTTACATACCTAGAACATACTAAATGTCTCATGAATTCTTGTTGATTGATTATAACAAGGAGAGAAAACACACATAGAGGAGTGATGGGCAAGGAAGGATATTTTAATTTGGAAAGCTACTGGGATAGTAGATTGAGCCATTAGGATATAGATTTGTGGGGAATGATTCCTTGGGACACCTACTGTATTCCAATCAGTATTAATCGGTTTGGTATTTTACATAAATCATGTAGGGATAATTAGATAAGAGAGATTCTTATACTGGGCCTCAAACTCTAATCCAATGTTCACTTCTTGTTTACAAGTTGAAGCTCACCTCCACAACCACAAGAATGCTGCCAAAGATTATCTCCATCTGTTTTACTCAAATGCCTTGTCCAAGCCTAGCATGGGTAGGATGCCCTGATTCTTTGGGAAGCCACCCAATTAATTTTTGTACCTCTGGACTACTCTATATTGTCCCATGTGAACAAGTGACCATCTTATGACCACTTAATTACCAGAGATGACTATTGCCTTGCCCATCTTTAGTGCCCTGGAAGGGAGATGACACGTATGTGTGTATATTTCATGCGCGTATGCACATATATACACATACATATAGTATATACACACATATACATAACAAATGCAAAATTACCACTTAGTCAGTGAAGATGTCCTATGCTTCACCCAACTTCACCCGCCTTGCTGATATACCATTTTTTGATTGATATATCATTTTTGGCCCTTAAAACAAGGTTTATTAACCAATGGGACTTTGTATCCTGTTTTGCCTCTCCACAGTGTACAACGATTGAAGCCAGTGTCAAATCCTACAAAAACAAGGTTCTAGGGACCAAGGGCATCTCAGATTGTGAGCAAGGTCTGAGGTCCACTGCATTAGAGAGGACCGTGGACCCTTTAGTAAAGTGCTGTTGGCTTGGAGTTCAGCCTCAGTGGTTTTTCTTGCAGATTGGACAATTTTGGATCCCACAGATTAATATGACCTTCCAAATAGCACTATCAGGACTTATTTAAACTGGAAAAGAGAAGGGCTGAAGGTCAGGGATAGTACGCCTGTGGTAGCAAGGTGGCTAGTGAGAAGGCCAGGGTAAAAGGGGGAGTATGGCTAGAACTGGCCTAGATTTAGGGGTCATTGAAGGTACTCACCATGAGCATTAGGGATGGGAGTGAGGTGGGGTGCAGGAACATATTCCGGAGCTAAAAGGGTTAAGTCCTTAAGGGTATGGTCTTTGGACCAAAAGCACAAGGGAAATTTGGTTTTTAGGAGAGAAGATGGACTGAAAAATGGAGAGAGGAGAAAGAGCTTACTTTTCATGTATTACCTATGAGTTACAGATATATTTCAAAGTATGTTGTAAAGGCAACTAATCTTATACGTATATACTTCCTCATGGTAAATAGTGATTTCTCCAAAATAAGCAAGATGGAATTATGATTTAATTACTTGGATACTGTTAAATGTCTTAGGAAGCACACTGATATGTATTTGTATTGTGTTTACCCTATTGCCTCTAAGGATTGAATATAAAGTTCTCCTGGCACTGAAATAATTTCAAACCTGGCCCCCTTCCTACCTTTCCAGTCTTTTTATATATAGCTCTCCACAAACTGGACCCCTTACCGTTCCACAAATTTGCTACCTCCTATTTCTTTTTCTTTCTTTTTTTTTTTTTAGTTGAGGTCTTTTTTTAAAAAATATTTTATTTTCCCCCTAAATATATGTTAAGATATTTTTAACACTTTTTTTAAAGATCTGAGTTCCAAATTCTATCCCTCCTTCCCTCCCCCTTCCCTGACATGGTAAGTAATCAGATATAGGTTATACATGTGCAGTCATGTAAAACATTTCCATATTAGCCATTTGTATAAGAAGACTGAAAGATAAGAAAAAAAATGAAAAAGAGTGAAAAACAGCATGTTTCAGTCTGTATTCAAACAATATCAGTTCTTTCTCTGGAGGCAGATAGTATGCATCACCATTAATCCTTTGGGATTGTCTTGGATCATTGTATTGCTGAGAATAGCTAAGTTATTCACAGTCCTTCATCGAACAATATGGCTGTTACTATATATATATCATTCTCCTAGTTCTGTCCACTTCACTTTGCATTGGTTCATGTAAGCCTTTCCAGGTTTTTCTGAAATCATCCTTCTTGTTATTTCTTATAGCACAATAATATTCCATTACACTCATATACCTCAGCTTGTTTATCCATTCCCTAATTGATGGGCATCCCTTTGATTTCTAATTCTTAGCCACCACAAAAAAGAACTGCTAAATATTTTTGTACATGTAGGTCCTCCTTCCCCACCATTCCCCCCCTTTTTTTCTATCTCCTATTTCTCAGACTGCCCCTCCCTTTCTGGAATGGACTACCTCATCACCTCTCATAACTTCTGGTTTGCTTCAAGATTCAGCTGAAGCCTTTTCTAATACCTTCCTCAGCTGCTAATGCCCTGTCTTCCAGAACTACCTTGAACTTATTTTGCTTTTGTTATATGTATATATGTGTGTGTATATGCTATGTGTATATATACACATGGAAATATACACATATATGTCTCCTTATTTACATGTAAATATATACACAATGATTAAAAGGAAAATTCAGATATGAAACAGGAAGAGGATCACAGATTTAGAAATGAAAATAAGCTTATAGGTAATGGCCTTACTTTATAGATGAGGCATCAGAGACTTAGAGACATAATATGACTTGTTCAAGGTCACGCAAGTCATACCTGCCAAACCCAGCATTCTTTCCATTGAAAATGAAGACTTCCAATAGTTCTTCATTGGCCAGAAGGACCTGGGCCAGTCTGTTTATGCTAGTAGCAGAAATCCTTGCCAATCATTTAAATTCTTACCTGATTCCAAGTCCAAATCTCTTATCAGTATTCCAAACAAGGAAATTGAAATCACTGGAAAGAATGTTTTATTTTGTTTTGTTTTTGCAGTCAAAGAACTTGGGTTTCAATCTTAGCCATGCCATCTTCTATCTATGTGATCTTGGGCAAATTATTCAAACTCTTAGGAACTGTTTCCTTATTTATAAAATGAGAGGGTTGGACTAAATAACCTTTAACTACCTACAAGTTCTAAGATGATGGAGAGTATCCAAGAGCAACTGTTCCAACCCTGAAGTATCATGACATTGAGGTTAAAATGACCGGCCCAAGGTCACTTCTTGGCTCTCTAGTTTACATATGATTTCATCCATTCTCTAGAAAGTGTCAGGATAGGTCTGAAAATTGTAATTCCTTAGAACAATGGTATTAAACTCAAATAGCAGTGGGGCTACTAATCTGTTCATAAGGATCCCTACATGCCACACAATGAGTCAGTTTTAAAATGCTAGGTGGCACAGTGGTTAGAGCACCAGCCCCGGATTCAGGAGGCTCTGAGTTCAAATCCGGCCTCAGACACATAACACTTACTAGCTGTGTGACCCTGGGCAAGTCACTTAACCCCATTGCCTAGCCAAAAAATAATGTAATGTTATCTTGTTTTTTGTATTTTTATTTTGTTAAATATTTATCAATTACATTTAAATGTGGTCATATGCGGCTTGTGGGTTGGGTATTTGACATATTGGGCCCCCTCAAATCTTCTCTTTTCCATATGGGCTCTGCATAAAGTCAGTACCTTGATGATCAAGTCATTGAATAGTGAAATGTATAAATATGAAATTCATGCACAAGAGATTGTAAGATTCATAGAACAGAGACTTTTATTTAAGTTTGGAAATAGATAAAAATTTTTTTTACCAAAATTTCAACAAATCCCCAATTCAAATCCTACCCCACATACATGAACAGAACTATGAGAAAGGGTATACTCTTTGTGTATCTTCTTTATTTCATTGTAAGTTGATATTTGTAAATTACACACAAAAACTGACATGATCTATCACCCAGTCACTCTAGAAAAGAAATTAACACAATGATTTTTCACCAGAATCAAACATCCTTATTTTTTTATATGAAAACTGAGTGAGTGACCTTAAGGCTTTAGGTTTTCTTGCTAGTATGAGGTAAACAGCATAATTCATGTTAAGGCAAATAACACACTACATGTGGGATATCAGTGTGTTTTTTTTTTCCATGGGAAAAATTAAGGACCAAAATATCTTTGAATATATAACATGTATGGAAATTACCAATATTGTATGGGGGAAAAAAGATCCTCTATAAAGGAAGGAAGATGAATTTGGCTATCTTAGTGATGCCCTTTTGTTCATAAGCATGACTGAGATTTCTCCTCTAAATAGGACCATATTGGAATTTGATAAGAAAGACGCTGAAGTCAGTGAATTTTATTTATTTTACTGGGCTAATTATCTCTGAAATCAGTTTGGATCAAATTCAAATTCTTTACCACATCTCTCATCTTTCTCCATATGGAGAAAAGCAAAGATGGCTCTGGATGGTCAGTGAGATACTGCTCACTTCTTGGGAGATGAAGGAGAAAGAGAACGTAACTCATTATTTCAAAGAAAAATTCTAAGTAAAATTGAAAGTATCTAAGCTGTCAGAATTTCCGATCCAAAAAAGCATTAATTTAAAATTCATAAACATTATTTCTTCCTGTCTCTTTTCAGAAGGTACACATTTCAATAATATCCCAAACCGTTTTCTCAAACTCAATGAAGTGGGTCACTTTTTTTTTTTTTGGTGATTGTCATTTCTTTTCCTCAAGGAAGCAGGAGAAAGACATCACTTTGGTGTAACAGAGGCCACAGCCTTCCTGGCAGCATCTTCCAAGTCACTGGCAGAAGTAATGGGAAGGCCACTGTTATTCAAGATACTTTGAGCTTCTTCAACATTGGTTCCTAGAGAAGAGGAAGACAGATGATCTTAGCAACACATCTGCTAGAGTATATGCCTTTCCATCACTGAAGAGCTACAATGCTTTTGGGTAATCGGCTCAATCTCTTTCAGCTTTATAGTTTCATTAGGGCAGGCAGTTGGCTTGATGGATAGAGTACTGTACCCAGAGTCAAGAAGGCCTGGATTTAAATCCTGCCTCAAATCTTTGGGCCAGTTAAATAACTTCTCTAAGTCTCACTTTTCTCATCTGTAAAATGAGCACAATAACAGCACCTAGCTCACAGGGCAGTTATGAGGATCATATAAAATAATGTACGTAAAGTATTCCATATGCCTGCTATGCAGCAGGCATTATTTTCATGATCTATAAAATGTGGGACTTGGAATTGATGAGCAAAAAGTTCCCTCCCATACCAACATCTTATGATTCTCTTGTCAGTATTCCATTGAACCAAAATTTCTTGATTTGAAGAGAAACATTCACTTTTGGAAAGAACATCCAGATGACCAACTCTTAATCTGTACATTTTAAAGACATAAGCTATATTTTCTCTCCTGATGCATAAAGTTGTTTCTAAAAATATTGGGGGTTCCATGGGAACATATTGGAAAACTGGAATAGGTACAGGTCTGGATGGCTGGGGAAAGCCTCTGTGATGCTTCCCTTCTGTATGGTTAGTTTGAATACTAGACCTTACTAAAGATTTATTCCAAACTAAATTTGACTATTAAAAATGTAATTCCTGGGCAGCTAGGTGGTGAAGTGGATAGAACACCGGCCCTGAAGTCGGGAGTACCTTAGTTCAAATCTGGCCTTGGACCAAACACTTAATACTTACTAGCTGTGTGACCCTGGGCAAGTCACTTAACCTGAATTGCCTAAAAATTAAAAAAAATATGTAATTCCTGATTAAAGTTGTATTGAAAGCAATAGGAAGGTTCTGGAATACAAGTTTAGGATAGCTTGCTTGACTTATAGCCTCTGTACAAATCAAGTGGCATAAAGGAAAATTTGCTCATAATTCTCTGTTGGTCCAGAGTATCACAACAACAGGAAGAGCGACATCATTATCATCATCATTGTCAACGACAAAAACAACACCACCAACAACAAAAACAGGAAAAATAATGAAAAAGAGAAATGAAGGCATTTCCTAAAATGGCTGGAGACCTTGAAATGCTGAAATCCAAATACGTGTCAAAAATGCATAATTACATATGATGGCAAGATGCATCTCACATCCTTCACAAGTGGGTCAGAATAAGCCCTTACTAAAATATCTTTATAATGCTATTATGTGTTTGGTGTAGCAAAACAGTTAACTGCATGAACATTTTAAAACTCTGCATTCCCTCTTCTACCTTGACGTCTTTCACAGGGTTTCTCCTCTACACCCTCTGCATCCCTACCATGACAGGGCCAGGATATGCTTTCTTCTTACCTCCAATTGTCTAATGGTTCCTTCTCCTCCAGGTCCATTTCCTCCAAAAGTCTTCCCTTTTGTCCTTTCCCCCAACCTCTGCCCACTGATCGTGCTATGTTTCTCTTCAAATTATCATACATTTTACTCATTTGGACGCATGTTTTTTCCCTGGTAGACCATAAGCACCTTGTGGTTACATACTGTTTTTTTTTTTTTGTAATCTTTAATCCCAAAGACTTGAATATAGGAGGCATTTACTCAATACTTATTAAATTAGATGAAATTTAAAATGTCTGTTTTGGAATTCAGTCATTCATTCATTGCCCAGATTTGGGATTTTATTCGTGTACAGAGCTCCCTGTGTGGAACTTCTTTCAACGTGTATCTGCAATTTAAAGTATTAGAGAGTCTCCAGGAACATTGAGAGGTTGACCCTGTAGCCTAGAGCTACACAGTGGGTATATGATAGAAGCACGACTTGGCCTTAGGTTTTTCTTTTTCTTTTTTTCCAGGATTTATTTATTTATTTATAATTATATTTTATTTTCTCCAATTAAACATAAAATATTTTTTAACATTTGTTGATTTTTTTTTTTAAAGTTTTGAGTTCCAAGTTCTATCTCTCCCTCTCTCTCCTCCCTCCTCCCTGAGATGGTAAGCAATATGATACAGGTTATATATCTGCAATCATGTAAAACATTTCCATATTAGTCATTTTGTTCAACAAAATTCAAAAATGAAAGAAAGAAAGAAAAGAAGGAAGGAAAGAAGGCAGAGAAGATAAGAAGAAAAAAGAAAACAGAAAAAAGAAAAGAAGGAAGGAAGAGTAAGAGAAAGAAAAAGAAAAATAGGATGTTTTGGTCTGTATTCAGATGACATTAGTTCTTTCTCTGGGGGTAGACAGCATTTTTCACAGTAAGTCCTTTGGGATTGTCTTGGATCACTGTATTGGTGAGCATAGCTAAATCATTCACAGTTCTTCATCATACAGTATTGCTGTTACTATGTAGAATGTTCTCTTGGTTCTGCTCACTTCAATCTACATTAGTTCATGTAAGTCTTTCCAGGTTTTTCTGATATCATTCTACTCATTATTTCTTATAACACAATAATATTCTATTACAATCATATACCACAGTTTGTTCAGCCATTCCTCAATTGATGGGTATCCCTTCAACTTCCAATTCTTGGCCACCACAAAAGGAGCTGCTATAAATATTTTTGTACAAATAGGTTTGCCCCCTTTTCTCTTTTTATCTCTTTGGGATACAGACCTAGTAGTGGTATTACAGGATCAAATGGAACACACAGGTTTATGGCCCTTTGGGCATAGTTTCAAATTACTCTCCAGAATGGTTGAATCACTCCCACAGCTCCAAGAACAGTGCCTTAGTGTCTCAGTTTTCTCACATCTTCAACATTTAGCATTTTCTATCAATGAGGGTTCATGAATTGTACAATTAGAAAGACATCTGTCAACCTCTAGGGCTAGTCCCAGAGGGGAGATATAGCAGCCATGCTTTAGGGACAAAGACTACCAGTTCAAGGTGGGTAAGGATGAAAGAGAAGCCCCAGAGTATGTGCTACACATGAATTACTAGTGTCAGTACCAGTAACAACTGACTGAATCTGAATTCCTGCTATGAAATATAAGATATACAGCAATTCAAATACATTTTCATTTGCTCTTGGCTACTTAGGTATGAGTGTGTCTCTGCGTGTGAATGCATATAAACTCATACACATCCATCATAAGATGTCTGCCCCTTTGAATTTCACCAGGGATTCTTACCCTTTCTTGTGTCATGGACCCCTTTGGGAATAGTGGGGCCAAATCACTCCCTCTAAGAATAATGTTTTTAGTGAAAAAAGTGATAACTTTTCTCATCCCAAGTTTTCAGATTCCCTGAACCTTGGACCCATGGGACATCAGGGTCAGAATCCCTGGATTATAGGATTACAGAGTGAACATTGGAAGGAACTTTCAAATTCACCTAGTACAACCCTGTCATTTTACATTTGAGAATACTAAAGCCCAGAAATGTTGAGTGACTTTTGATCCAGGGCTTCATGAGCCTGCAATTCCTCCCTGGAACTGGCTCCTGTAGCCTGAATGTGTGTGTGTGTGTAGATATGGACTGATCCTCCATATCTGAAACCTGCCTTCTTGGTGGCAAGTATTGTTAAGGGTCAGCTGCAGCTGGGTCTTTCCACTGTAGAAGCTGGAAAATGTCGTTGTTGTCCCCCTAGGCTGGTACAGCCTCTGGGCTAATGTTGTGGGTGCCTATTACCCACAGCTGGGCTACATTGCCTTAAGTCATGCTTCAGTGCCCCACACTGAATATTGTGCAAATTGGTTTTGCATTCTTGTTTAATGGGTAATATTGTCCAAACAGGATATGATGGAACTTTGGAGTCCTGTGAAATATCCAATCTAACTCATCACATCATTGGATTTTATCTAGTTAAGCAGAGGAAGCCCATTTGTAGACAAAACACTTCAAAACTAGGCAATAAAGCCCTCAGACACATTTTTAAAAGGTTGTAAATGAAAAGAGACGCTTCAAAAATCATACAAATGGCAAAGCCTTGGTTAAATGAGATCAGATTAATTAAAAGAGATGACCAATTGTCACTCGAATCCCCTAGGCTTCATTTCATTAATGTGGCAGAGCCAGAGGGGAAAGTCTTCTGAATCTCTGAGGAATGGTGCTTACCTCCATTCTGGTTTACACCGAGGCTAGCACCTTCTGGAGGCACCAGGTTGAAGGCTGGGCAACCTCTGCAGCCTCAGAATAGCAGTGTGGATTTTGATTCATTGTGTTTTGGTTCATTGATCCATTCAGAATTAGTCAAGTTACAGGTTTTCTTTTCTTAGGTATGCTTCTATTAATGACTGGCTACATCCACAATAGAACAATGAGCAAATGAAAGCACTTATTTACCCTTCTTTTCCAAACATACTTTCATACATTAATGGCTCTTATTACAATGCATGTAACAGAAACAAATAATTAGCTTTGGAAAAGATACAAAGTATGATTTCTTTTTTTACCCCTTTCCTCAAGGCGGACTTTAGCTGGATTTCTCTCCTCAACTGCATTCAAACTTGTCCGGATGGGAAATAACCTAAGTACCAATTTACCATCCTTTCTCTTCACAATTTGCAGCCAACTTCACAATGGAAAACCCATTGGCTATGGAGTCAGAGGTCCCAACTTCAAAACCTGCCTCTTCTACTTTTTTCTTGAGTGATTTGACCAAGTGACATAAACTCTCTGGGGCTCATCTTCCTAAACCTTAATCGTGCACATTGGACTGGATGAACTCTATGGCCCCTTCTGGCTCTAATTCCATAATCCTATAATGCACACTTACCATGCATACTTAGTCATTCTCTACCCATCCATTAATTACTAGGTTTAGCATTGACTGTGTAAGTGTTGAACCAGCATCCTGCTGTCTTTGTGTAATTTAGGCCTCTCCACAGTCCTGACTATATTAGCTCCTTGGGTTAGGGATTGAGTTTGTTTCACTGCACCTGAACAGGACCAGGAGCTTGTGGGACACAGATGCAC